TGGTGCTCACCAGTAGGGTGGTGCTCACCAGTAGGTGGTGCTCACCAGTAGGTGGTGCTCACCAGTAGGTGGTGCTCACCAGTAGGGTGGTGCTCCTCGTGCCTTGCTCAGCCTGCTTTTTTTTTTTTTTTTTTTAATAGAACCCAGGACCCCCAGCCCAGGGGCAGCACCACCCACAATGGGCTGGGCCCTCCCCTATCGATCACTCATTAAGAAAATGCTCGGGCTGGAGAGATGGCCCAGTGGTTAAGAGCACTGACTGTTCTTCCAGAGGACCCGGGTTCAGTTCCCAGCACCCACATGGCAGCTCACAACCATCTGTAACTCCAGTTCCAGGGAACTGACACCCTTACACAGGAAAACACCAATGCACAATAAAGAAATTAATTAATTTTAAAAAAAAAAGAAGAGAAAAGAAAACGCTCCGTAGATTTGCCAGCCTACAGCCCACGTTCTCTAATTGAGGGTCCCTCCAATCAGATGTCTCAAGCTGACATAAAACTAACCAGGATAAGAGTAACCTTATGAAAATGACAATAAAACATGTGACTTTGTGGTTTTCTGTTTGTTTTTTTTTTCTGTCGTTGTTGTTTTGTTTGCTTTCCTCCAGCTCCAGGAACAGCCAGATCTCCCGTGAGAAGATGGCCATTGATGCGCAGACACTCAAGAAGAAGATCAGCAGGACATGCGACGAGGCAGCCCGCACCATCCTCAACAGCCTCCTGCTTTACGTCTTAGACCGTGCCGACGGGCCCCAGAAGGCAGAGAACAGAGCAACCAGGGTCAACCGCCCACCCCAGCTCCAGGAGGCGGGCCGGAGACCCACACGGTTCCAGCTTCTACAGGCTAAGTTCATGGGCACCGGCCGGGATCCCCACCTCAAGAAGACCCGGGAAGTGGGCCGGCTGATCTCCAAGGACAAGCAAGGGCCGGGCAGGAGTTTTGTAAATGCCACTATCAACAAGCTCCTAGAAAAGACCAAGGAAGGAGGCAACGGTGCCAGCCAGAGGACCCCAAGCAGTGAGAAGCCCCGGTGGAGCCCCGCGAGTGGGAAGAGCACCGTGAAAAACATCCTAAAGAAGTTCTTGGCTGCAGAAGAGAAGGAAGCTAAGGAGAAAGAGGCACGAGAGAAACCTCCTGCCCAGCGGCCTGGCGCTGCCAGGGGCCTCCTGCCGCGAATCGTGGGCCGGAGTTCCATCCTCTCCAAGCTGAGAGAAAGATTTGAACAGAGTGGTTGTCTGCACTCAGAGGCTGGTGTGCTGCCCTTGCACAGAGAAGGACGGAAGAGCAGGAGCCTACAGAAGAAGAAAGTGCACAGGCCACAAGTGCGGGTGCTCCACGTGGCCACCATGGCTACCAGCTGCACCAGAACTCCCCCTGCCCGGTTCCTGGCCTGCACAGCCGAGCCCCTGCCAGCCCTCAGCATCGCCACCATTGTCTGCGGCCCCCAGAGCTGGCTGTCCCATTGCGCAAAGCTTAGTCACTCGGAGTCCAGACGTTGGCCCGTTGGAGAAACCATCATGTCCTCCAGCTCAGAAAGCCTGGAACCCGGAGGAAACGAATCCAAAGAACTCATGAATGAGGAACGCAAGGAACAACTCCAGTCCTCGGTGTCCCAGGCCTCGGCTCCTGTGGGCAGTCACGTGGCTATGAACGTGGGTTTCTCGGGCATGTCTACCAAAGGCCAAGACCTGTCTGGCCATGCATCGGTGTTGTCCCCACTTGGACTGGACAGCCCCAGAGATACTGGGGTAGTCAGGAAGGACAGAAGAACAGAGCCCAACACACAGGAGGTGGCACCTGACACCCAGGAAGTGAAGGATGGCACAAGAGAGGCCCCTGAAATCACCATGACTGTGTGCAGCTCTGAGGATGAGGCAGAAAGGACACCTTCAGGCCCAGAAAGAGAGCCCTTCTTTGCCATCCAGAGGCACCTTCCGGAACAGGAGGCAGTGGCTCAGATCCCCCTCCCAGCCCCTTTAGCAGTCCAGGCTGAGCGGCGAACGCAGCCCGCCATCAGGCCTCCACAGATAACAGTACAGCTTCCTATTGTTCACGAAATGCCAGCCTTTCCCGGCCTTCTGCAACACGCCACAAGTCGTGAAGACGATTGTTCTCAAGTTCTGAGACGAGAGGATGGGACTGAAAATAAACAAGCCGCATTTTCCACTGGGACTGAGGAAAGGAGGGGTTACCAAACCCCCACAGCACTGAGTAAACCCCAGGGGATGCCAGTGAGTCTCCAGCCTGCAGCAGAAGGTGGACTCCAGGAAGACGGAAGAGATGACACCCATGTGGTTGGTGATGCCTCACAGACGTTCCCAATTCCAATCCCTTCAAAAACGTTTCCTAGTGGAACAGAGAAAAAGCCCAGCCCCGAGGACTCACGTGACCTCAGGAATTGCAGTGGAACTTCGGAAGAGTGTATCTCTGACCTCACCTGGGAAAGGCATCTGTGTCCAGAATCCAGTGAGGCCCCTCCAGCTGGCAATGGCACCTCAAGTCATCCCACTGTTGGGAGAAGCTATGCAGGAGTGGGCACCAGCTTGGCCACTGGCCTCCAGCAAGGGGTATCCCCCACAGAGCAGGTGCCACCCCAGGGCTGCGTAAGGCCTGGGGGTTCTATAGCGTCAGGCAAAAACATCCAGTTTGGGCAGGAAGAGTGCAAAGAGCCCCTGAACGAGTCGGCTTCACCCCCAAGCATGGCTCAGGAAAGCGTCAGCCATGATTTGGGCAACGACAGCCAGTCCACATTCAATGAACAGCCTACTGCAAGCTTCGGAGTCTCTGGGGAGGCGACAGCTAGAGGGACCGTCACTGGTCTCACAATGCCGCAGCCAAGTAGCACCCAGAACCCTGAATGCAGGATAACGGCACAGCCATCTGGTGCTCAGGACGCCGAACCCAAGATAACGCCACCTAAGGGTGGTTCCAAGGATGCTGAACACAAGAAAACACCCCAGACAAGCGGTGCCCAAGATGTCAAACACAAGCAGATGTCATGGGCAAGGGACACCCAGAACAATGTACACAAGCTGACTCTACAGCCACCTGTTTCCCCGGATGTTGAACCCACGATGACACCAGGTCTAGGTACTTCCCAAGAGCCCAAGCTAGCACTGGGACCCAGTGGTACCCAGAATGCCGAACACAAGACAGCACCACAGCAAGACAGAACCCAAGACACGAAACAGGTGACACCATGGCCAGATGGTACCCAGGATAATGAACACAAGATAACGCCACACGGTGCCCAGGACCCTGAACACAAGGCGGTGTCACAGACGGGTGATGCCCAAGATGATGAACACAAAACAACCATATGGACAGGTGGTGCCCACACCCCTAGACAGAAGGCAACATCGAAGCCAGGCAGTACCCAGGATGCTAAATACAAGATAATGCCACAAGCAGGTGGTACCCAAGACACTGGATACAAGAGGTCAGCACCAGTCGGTGATGGCCAGGATGGTGAACATGGGCCTGAACACAAGACAACACCATGGTCAGGTAGTATCCAGGACTACAGAGACAAGGTAACACCAAACGCCGGCAGCCACCCTTTGGTATTGAGCAGGTCCTCGAAGGAGGAGTGCAGAGCCACTGAAGGAAGCATCTCAGAAGACACGGTGCAGACCCACGTCCTAATGTCAGCAGCCCCGGCTGCTGAGCCGGGGGAAGCTGCAGATTCTTGCCCGGTGCCTGTTAAGTCTCCACCGTGTGCTTCAAGTGAGCCAGCGCTGAGAACAAGCAGTTGGGGTACCGAGAACAAATTGACGGCCCTGCAAAACACAGCATCCCCAAGACCACAAAAGAACCCAGCAGAGCATCTGGGCCACTCACAACCGCCCTCCGTGGGCCTACAGGCACTGGACGGAAAGCATCCTGAGAAAGAACAACACTTCTCTGGTGCACCACATTCCTCTACATATCCTCTGAGGCCAGCCGCAAAGGGAGAGACCAGGCAGGTGGAGCCGGCCTATGGTCCAGAGCCTCCTGTGTCCACCCAGAAGGCAGAGCATAGGTCTGCCCCTCCTCAGACAAAAAGCTTAGGGAGTGAAGCCAGAGAGAGTCTACCAACACAGGGGGACATGGGCCGGCCGCAGGGTCACCTTGGACCAGAGGAAACCGGTACAGGGCATGCAAGATTACACCAGACTGGACAGTCGGATGATCTGTGTGTGGCAGAGCCCGAAAAGATGCCAGTGGAAGAGAATCCCTGCTGGCACAGGGACAGGGATCAGGAGCATCCCCTGAGGCCACTGGGCATGCAGGAAAGGAGCCCAGCTCAAGGAGACAACCTTCAGGATGATGAGAACCTAGCCACCCCAGGGAACCCTAAGAAGCCTTGTGACTTGGCTATGCAGAAACGGACTCAGAGTCAGGCACAGGCCAGCCAGCCAGTACCTCAGGCCTGGGGACAGCCTGACAGCACACCTGAAGAGGAACTGACTGCTGGCACACGTGAGGAGCCTCCCAGTCTGGGCCCCACTCCTGGCCATCAGCAAAGCCCAGGTGCCCCGCACCTGCCCCAAGAAGGCCAGTCCCTGGCTAGTAGCAGGACCACAGCCTGCTCCCTTGACAGAGCAGATGACTCTCCCTGGCTCACCTCGAATGCTGGGGGCCACCCGCTCTTCCAAACCCTTGCCCAGGATGGGCCCCCAGATGCCCCTAGGGCAGAAAAGGACCTCTCAGACCATAGGCATCGCAGGTCGGTGCAGTTTGCAAAATACCGTGCCCAGAGCTTCCGTGACCAGAAAGCCTTTGATCTGTCCTTTAGGCCCAGAGTCCTCAGGGCGAGTGATACTTTTGAGCCCCCAAAGTGAGGACTCACTTGGAGCCAACATGCTTGTCTCCGAATGAACATGACTTTGAGCATCCCCTAAAGAGAAAATGTAGACATTAGTGTCTCTCATTTCCTCTCACTTGACATGAACTAGTCCTGGGGATGCATGTGGGTGGTGCTTCCCATATTTGAAGCCAGGCTTCTTCAAATGAGGGAGGTGTTAGCTATCCAAGGCTGCTGGCTGTGGCCCACATCTTGTGACATCTGACCGGCACTGTGACGTGGAGGACACAGAGACCTCACTCCTGTCTTGACAGAGGAGGGATCAGAGCCATGGGCTGCCCACTGGCCCTCTGCTCCCCAGAGCTTCCCCGCTATGCCCCTGCCTACTACCCAAAGTCAGTGCCTGTGACCTATGACCTGTGACCTGACCCTTCCATACTGGGAAGTGCAAGGCTTGCCAAGCCATGTCCCACTTCTAAGCCGGTACCAGAGTCTCACTGATCACAGCAGGCAGAACCTTGGGGTCACAGACTGGCTTATCCCTTCAGCAGACATCAGGAGAGGCGACCCCAAGGAGCCACAGGAGGCGGTCTCAGTGTTGATTTGAGGCACACAACTCCAAGCACGCTTTTGTTTAGAACTGGGTGGCCACTTCTATTGTCGCTGCGACTGCCTAGCATCCCTAGCGGGACTCATGAGGCAACCCTCCCACTGCAGGAGCTGCATGGGATTGCAGTGTTCGGCTGCTGACTGCATCTCCGTCTGGAGAAGCTGCTGTCCTGAGGTGTACGACGAAGGTGACCGCCAGCCATTGCAACACGGCTCAGGATCGTTTCCATGAACAGCTCCCGGGTTCCAGACGGCCCCGTACATGTGTCTAGGGAACACATCCGAGCAGTCTGCACCTCTTCACGCTCTGGTCGTCACGCCACCTGACTTGTGGGGATGCCCCACACCCCACAGAACCGCAGAAGAGCTGAGGTGGTGGTCAGCATCCCAGGATGCTCTCCTTCGGGTGGTGATTTCCTAGGTTTCTGCTCCTTGGAGACTGGCCCTTTGCTTTCCCCACAACTGAGAAATTCCCTAAAATGCTCTCCCCGCTCTGGAGCGGGCTCTCTATCCTCTGGGACTTCCTTTGTTTTCTAGCTCAAATATCCACAACAAGAATGTCCTGTCCTTTTCCTGATGCGGCTGACTATGGGTGTCCCCACCCCAGCTCAGGGACGCCTGAGTGGACAAATGGGTCGTAGCACTGGAACCTGAGCCCCTGATCAAGCCGGAAACACAAGGGTTTCGGGCATTGAGCTCAGGGCTCCCTCTGTAGGAGGCAGGGCTTTTGCTGAAGTTACAGGAGCTGCATGAATTTCCTGAACACAGGGCACTGCCCCCTTGTGTCCAGTGTTCCATCCTGGGGTCATCTCCCATATCCTGGGGTCCTGAGGAGATAGATGCCTTGGTTTTGGTTTTTCAAGCCCAGCCAATATTGATGGTACATAGAGCTACAGGGTACAATGATTCCCTACCCTAGCCAGAGTCTCTGTGAAGCCAGCTCCTAGGGACTATGAGACGGGAGGGTAGTCCCAGCAGAGTCCACGGAGCTCCTATGGGCCTTTTCAGAGTTATCAACAAGATCTGCTCACACCAGGCGTGGCCATGTAGTTGGGAGGTAGCTGGAACCCTTGGAGTGCCCAGGTATGGCTATCTCCCACCAGACAGGAGCAAAACCAGTTTACAGGTTTCTTTCTTTATACACTTTGTTCCACAAAGGACATGGGGTGATGTGTGATAAAAAGCATGAGAGGCGGAGGAGATAAAAACTGCATGCTCAATGGGCATCCCTTTAAAAGATGTCAGTAATGGGACTTCGATGAAGGGTTTTGTTCATTTGTTTTTAAGATGGAGTACTTTTGCAAAAAAAAGAACAAGCATTTTTTCCCTCCTGCTGTTTCTAACGGGCCTGAAAATTGTGACAAGTGAGCAAGGAAGGTCATAGAGCAGGACCCTTGCAAGCCGCACAGGGTGGTCTGCCTGTCCCTGATGACCACACAGCCACAGTGAAGTCGCCTGTGCCTGTAGGCTGAGGGAGGCACAGCTCTGCCCGGTGTTCAGGAAGCCTGTGAGCCATTTAATACAGCTCTAATTGAAATTAGGGCAAGTCCCTACCGCCCAGTCTAAATTCAGTCGGCAGACTGTCGTCCTACGCGGGAGAGACGCGCAGCACTCCTGGGTTGAAACAGCCGACGCCTGAGGTGGTGTGCAGACCATCCCCCATAAGATCCAAATTTTAAAACCACTTATTCCAGCCCCTAACTCATCAGGTCACCTAAGGCACAGGAGCCACTCCCGTGTTCACACCCTGCTGCAGGCTTTCCAGGCTTTCACAGACCTGCAGCCCAGGCAGGACAGCTGGTGAGTGAGCCCTTCAGGTACGTGCTCTGCGGCCTGTGCGCTAGGTAATAAGACACTCCCTCGGGACTGTCGCTCTCAGAATGGTGCAGTCAACATCGCTCATTCTTTTTCATCAAAGATGCCATTTTAGTAATGTATCAACCCACGACTACCTATTAAGTTTTGTTTCTATCCTTCTTTGTATAAAAACTCTAAAATGGATTGGTCAGAAAAAAATATTTTTGTTATATTGTTTCCTTGGAATCTGTACTAACCTTGTATAGCTGGAATTTTGTAAAAGGAAATAAATTATATTTCCTATTATAACTCTCTTATTTACGTCTGTGGGAAACAAGACCTTCATTCTGCAATTACAAATCTGAGACTTGAGAAAGTGAAAGGTTTTTGTTTTGTTGTTGTTGTAGCCCTGGCTGTTCTGGAACTCTCTCTGTAGACCAGGTAGGTCTGGAAACTCACAGAGACCCGACTGCCTCCACCGCCTGAGTGCTGGGATTAAAGGCGTGCGCCACCACGCGGCGAGAAAATGAAAGTTTTAAACTCTGTAGAAAGGGAGACTGGCATTCAGGGGGGGAAAATGATAGGCACGGATTTTGCTCCAGATTGATATTTTTAAATCCCTGATCGTGAGAAATTCCTGTTCTCTTTTCCCATAGGCTAGCGCTCCAGGGAGTCACAGTCTTCAGGCTGCTCTAGCATAACCCTCTTCCCAAGTTACTCATCCTGTTGGCTCCGGACACAAAGCCTTATCTAATGAATGTTCTGGGGGCTTGAGATCTCTCCCTTTCCGGGTAGTGGGCTCAGTGCCTAGTAGACTGGCTACAGCCTTCAAATTACGAGGGTTCCGAGACAAGCAGGCACCAACCACCAGCCAGGGGAGAGGGGGGCCTCGAGCCTGCTGCCTATCTACGAGGCTTTGATGAACTCTGCGCACACTGAATACTGAAAATGGACCAATTCCGTTCTTACTTATCTTTGGGCACACTGCACGGGTGAGGCAGGCATTGCACAGGGAATCCAGTGGGGCAAAGCCTGGGCTGTACATGGCATGAAGAACTCCATGGCATATCCGCACCAAGCCAGCAGGGATGGAGGCTCTGGCCAGAGGTGTCATGTGTGGGAAGAGAAGCCCTCAGCCTGTTCTGGGGAAGAAGGGCAACACCATCTCAGGACCATCCCCAGGCCTGTGTAGAGAACTCAGGTGCCTGCTCTGGAGGCATCTGACGGAGGCTCTTTGCTCTCCCTGCAAGGAAATTGTGGGCAGGCAGGAAACTCTCCTGGTGCTGGTCTTGGGCAGCTGCAGCAGGCTTCAGCACTGGAGCGCAGAAGCAGACAGGTAGGAGCAGCTGTGAAACCCTCTAGTGTTGTATAGTTCCTGTGTGGGTGCCGAAGCCCCTTGTCCCCAGGGTGACAAACATTAACAGCTCTTGTGCAGGCTGAGGACATAAACCCTTAGCTCTGCGAGTGTCACAGGTCTTGCATTGATCGCCCTAAAGAGTCATAATCCCCCAGCCCCTGGCAGCGGCTGGCATCGCAGCCCCCGGGCCTGTGTGTCGGGAGCCTATTATTGCTGCTGCTGTTATTGGCGTCATGTAGTTGTCCAAGGAAATGTCACTGTTCTGGGCCTGTTGGTTACCAACCATTCTGCTGTCCCTGATTCTGTCACTTCTTTCTTCCTGCTCTTAGCTCAACCAACTCCATTAAAAAGCAAACAAGACCACTTAACAAACGCATTTCATTAAGCCTAAATTTGCGTCTTCAGGGAAGGCACTTAGGAAGCTATCTCCCAGCCTGCTCGTGAAGCAAGCCAAACAGCCTGCTTAGATAGCCAAGGAGAGGGCATTTGTACCAATCGCAGCAACCCCAGGATGGAAAGAACAGTATTTGTGCCAGTTGTGACATAGGCCCTCATGCAAATGAGGGACTACAGTCGGACCAATCACAGCAGCCCTCCCATGCAAACAAAAGAGTGTTTGCACCAGTCACAGGCCTTCTGCTGGGTCACCCGAGGAAGTGCTCCTTCCCTGGTGAGGCTGCAGGATTCCCTAGAGTTTGGTGAGTCGCCGCCGAGTGGCATAAAGTCTGTGACAGACGGATCGATTGTAGCTGTGGCTGTGTCTTCAGGAGCTTGAAGTTGCACTTGAGCAGAAAGCATCTGCGATTGTCATATGACTTCCTCAAGCCTTCTTTGGAGTGCTCAAAGCAGCTGGTACTGCGTCAGGGAAGTCCAGCTGGCTGTGCCACTGACGCCGCTTCCCTCAATATAGCCAGGGCACCGGGGGTAACAGCTGCCACCTGGGGGTCAGGACCTCTCTTCTCAACATCAAAAGGGGTGTTTCCAGTGGAGATGTATCACCAACAGTTCCTCATCCACATTTAACATCAACTAACAATGATTTTGAAGGTGTTGACTCTTAGCCAGGGGGAGGTGGGCTCTTCTAATATGTCTGAAGGCCACACTTCAGGGTGGAGGATGCTTTACTTCCGTGGAGACACAATGTGGCATGACATCTAAGTAGCCGAGGCCACCCAAGGAGACAGGGGTGAGGAGAATAAGAGACAAGAGCAAGTACAGCCTACTGAATGTCTCCCTCTCTCCAGGACGGTCAGTCTCTGCCTATGATAGAGTACAGGGAGGAGGGGCCTTCACTCTGACATGAGAAGGGACTCTGTCCCAGGGTGGGAGCACCTGAGGAACTGAGGACCTACCTGTGGCCAGCACTTGGGATGATCGGGGGACTTCTCGTCCAGAGAGGAAAGCCCTGTCACTGAGCCAAGATGCAAACTTTCTATGGGCTACATTGTAAGTTGAAAGCTCTTATTAGAAATCTTCACGCTTGATGTAACAGTGTTTCCTAAACATTATGAGGAAACACTGACCACACCAGGGAAGGATTCAGCCTGCTGAATTCTGGCCCATTTGCTAAGATTGAGCTAACTCTATGGTTACCATGGGTTTCTGACAGGAACTTTTTTGTTTTTGTTTTTGTTTTTGTTTTTCGAGACAGAGTTTCTATGTGTAGTCTTGGCTGTCCTGGAACTGGCTCTGTAGACCAGGCTGGCCTGAAACTCACAGAGATCTGCCTGCCTCTGCCTCCCAAGTGCTGGGATTAAATGTGTGTGCCACTGCTGCCCAGCATGGAACTTACTCCATGTATCCAAAAGCCCACCACTGAGTCATCCATGAATGGCGTCTCTAAACCCGCCAGAAGGTCTAGTAACCTACTAGAAAGCCCACTTGAGGACTCCTGCTAAGAACATGCTGAGGGACTTCCCCTACAAGCACAGAGGACATCAGGCAGTGTTGCAGGTCTCCATCGTGAAGAGGAGGCTTGGCACAGTTCTGCTGGGGGCTATTTCAATGGGTCGGTACCACTGCCATGAAGGGAGTGGAAAATCCCCGGCCTCTGCTTGCTCCTGTGACTTTTCCCTACGTCCTCAGGCTCTCTACATCTGGATCCTCATCTCCGAGCGGGGAGACAGGGACGTTGTGTGGCTTCAGCAGGCCTTGAGGTCATGTGGTGGACCAGCTGTGGCCATCCATTTCTGCAGCTGGATTCCTGCGACTCTTGATTCTCAGGTGCCACCAGGGGGCACTGCTGGCCTCCGGATGGCAGCGTTGGCAGGGGTCCAGGACCCAGCTGCAGTTGCAAAAAACACAGCAAGTATTCCCAGCTGCTGCCAGAGTCCGTGGCCCCTGGCTTTGCCAGAATAAAACTGAGATGAATGGACGCACGGGGAGGGGAGGCAGCAAACAAAGCCTGGCACACAAACTCACTGCACGTGAGAGGCCCTTATTTTTCAGCGAAGGTCCCTCAAACTAGGCAAAGACTCCTCCCAGAACAGTGCTGAGTCTCTTGCCCCTTCTCCGTGCTCTGGAAGGTCACTGATTGCCTGGGTTTCTAGGGAGACCGTTCAAGACCCAGAACTCTACGTGGGACACTGTGCATTCAGCACTCAATACAGTGCTGGGTACAGTGCCTGCTGGCGTGGCTGCGGCAGGTGTTGGCCTTCCAAGCCCTGGCCAATGTCTTTTTTTGTTGTTGTTTTGTTTTCCGAGACAGGGTTTCTCTGTGTAGCTTTGCACCTTTCCTGGATCTCGCTCTGTAGCCCAGACTGGCCTCGAACTCACAAAGATCTACCTGGCTCTGCCTCCTGAGTGCTGGAATTAAAGGCGTTCGCCACCACCACCTGGCCTGGCCCAATATCTTCTAGAGCTACCCTCCTCTCTGGGGAGGGACATGCTTCCTGGCCCTCCGAGATGGCCCCTTTGGCAGACGTGAGAATTGTGGTTCTGTTCTGCCTTGGGGGGATGGAAAAGTCCTCTCTTCAACCCACTTCTTCCTGTTGTCTGTCAGGCCTTCTCAGGGCCCCTGAGCAGCTCAGCGGAAGACCACAGGATGAGGTGAAGCCACCACAGGATGAGGTGAAGCCACCACAGATGAAGCAGACCAGCAGAAATAGTTGTCTGAGGGCTTTCTGAGGTCAGCAGCCACTGAGCACCCCAGTGAGCAGGTACCACACAGCCCCTAGGGTGATAACAAGGAGAGCAACCAAGCCCAGATATGCTGGGTCGTGTGACCCCTTCCTGAAGGCCTCGGGGGCCAGAAGACTCCTCTGTGTGTGTTGGGGAATAACAGCAAGCACCAAGCATCTTGTCCAGTATGTGACCCCCAAACAGAGCTCATTATTTCTTCTCGTGAGGCGTCTCTGCCACCAGAGCTTCTGACTGGGAGAAAATTGGGGGAAGATGGTTTAATGACCACCGGGGCAGAGAGCTGGCATGAAACAAAGAGAGGGATGGAAGTGGGGTGCGAGGACAGAGAAACCAAGGGGACACGGGAGGAAAAGGATACTCCGTACCCCAGGATCCAGTCTGTGCTGCCTGCAGGTTCACGGGCAGAGACCTTCACACAGCTGACAGAGCCAAGATTGCCGTCGAGAAAGGTGTTTCCGAAAGACACCCTAGCCCCGGGTGCTGCGGGCAGCAGGTGAGCTGGGCCCACTCAGGGCCTTGAGCCCAAACAACGCACCACATACAACCACCTGACAGCCGAATTCACACAAGCAGATTCTCTAAGATAGAGCTAAGACAACCAGCTCGTATGTAAACTTGCTTTAATTGTTAAATGGTGCACTCTCTCTCTCTCT